TGAATCTGCAGTAGTAGATGTGTTTATCAGCTTCTGTTACATCTGTCAAAGTGATATTGTGAGTGTCTTCATTTTCTCTGACACACTGAACTCGTCCTCTGTTTTCTGGAACTAAACACAGGTTCGGTAGATCTCCATCAGTTACAGGAGGTTTGGTCCAGAAGACTTTTTCAATCTCATAACCACTAGGATATTTTAAAGCACAGGACATTTTCACTGTTGATCCCTTTAATGCACAAACATATGAAGGGCTGTAATTCACTCCCCAATCCTGCTGACCATCAACATCTGAAACACGAAACACAGATATGAGAAATATTATTAGGCTTTCAAACACATGAATCTTTCATTTCTATTAGATTTCAGCTGATGTCGAACTTTGTGTGAAATAATCAGTGTGTACTCACATTCTACTTTAAGATAAACAGGTGGAGAGATCAGATGTTCATATCCTGAAACAGCACATCTATAGTTTCCTGCATCAGCACGTCTGACTGACTGCAGCTGAAGCTGATTCACGTTCACGGTTCCTGTAGTTAATCTCTGAGTGTTTCTGTACCAGATGAATGTTGTTTGTTGAGGCAGAGAGCAGCTGCTTTTACATCTCAGAGTGACTGGATCTCCATCTTTCACACTCTGCTGTGTCTCCACCTGCAGGTCTGACAGAACAACAACAACAACTCTATTTCTCTATTTCTCTATTTCACCATCATCTTAAAGTGATAGTTCACACAAAAACAAAACTGCTGTTATTCTAAAGCCATGTGTCCTCCTTTCTTTTTCAGAACACATTGTTAAAAAATGTCCTGCTTGAGATTATCCGTTTAATAGCAGTTCAATTCGTGTTTACATGTATTGCACTTTTCACAACACAAAATCATTTCAAAGCTTTACAGCCAATGCATGCTTCAATGAAACAATGTCTTTGCAGCCAAATAAATATTCTAGCATTACTTCCTTTAATCTCTTCCTTTATTTTCTTTTAATCACGTGACTGTCAAGACAAAAACTAATCTCTTCTGGCAACAACATAATATCATATAACAATAATGTACAGCTCTAACATAATGCAAGTCATGTTCAGTTAAACAGATGAAATGAAATGTGAATGGTGACCTTCTTCAGGCTTTAAAAACAGGATGCAAAAGCATTCAAAAACACTCATGCAACTCATATTTTATATTCCAAGTGGATTCTCTAAATGGTGCGCACTTGTTCAATGACAAAAACTGCTGTGAGGTCAAGATGTTTTGGCTAAATAAGAAATTGCATTTTGGTTTGCTACTTTTTTCTTTATGAACCCTATCACGCATCTTCAGAACACCTGGAATGCAAGTCAAAAGTCACATTATTTTAAGACAGTTTGCAACTTTTGTTAAAGCATTAAGAAGGTCACAATTTACAGTCATTATATGAACAACCAATCAGGACATTTTATGACATTTCTCTTTTTGTGTTCAGAAAAAGAAAGAATGCCATTCGACAGATGCAGTTACATAATAAAGTGCTTGATGTGTGTGTTTGTATGTGTCTCAGGGGCGCAACTGCACATTTGCCGAGGGGTATGCAAGATCAGTGTCGGCGTCCCCCTTTATTCTAGCAGCCTCTAACCCTAACTCATGCAGAAAACTTTCTGCAAGTCAATGACCAAAAGCCCATTACTAGCTTGTGCATGCAAGGATACAAACTCATTAGGAGTGAAAAAAGTGACACAGGTTTGAACCCCCTTCCCCTGTTTTTAATACCATAGGGAAAAAAGTGAAAAGAAAAAAAGAAGAAAAGTGTGTCACATAACATCCCCTTTAACTCCTGATGGCAGACCCCAGACAGCAGAACACATTTCTTTTATTCGTTTTTATCTTCAAACACATGTACTATTGCTCACTTTTTAGTTAGGTAATTTGAATATATGTATAATTTGCCTCAAAATTATTAATATTTTTGCACATTTTTGTATAGTAAAATTCATTTTAAAGAGCATTCGCATTTTTTATTTTTTTTTCATTTTTACTTAAAGAGATAATTCATGGAAAATGTGCCATGTTAAGTGGAAGATTTTTGCCAAGATTTCACCTGGCAGAAAAACAAATACTATTAAAATGAATGTCATGATTCACACTATGACCACTAAATGGCAGCAGAGGATCATTTATTGTCTCCTTTACCATTTTCACTCTGTAATATAGTTCTTTTCACATGTTTTGCTAGTGGATTTATATTTAGACATTATAAAATCACTATTATAACATTTAAAATATATTTTTTGTCAAAGTTCAGCATTGTTTTGTTGTGAAATAGGAAGTAGCAAGAGTTTTCAACTCACTGAATCTACTTGAATTACACAGATGTCCTATTTTGAATTTACAACGGCAATCTTCAGAGAAAAGTGGCTAGTGGCTAGTGGCAATAGAGACTCAGAAACGAACTGATATTAATCACTTTGACCTTCTCTAAAATAATGTAAGAATGTAAAATAAGTTTTTTTCATGCATTTAAATATGGTTTCTTTTTCTTTTCATTTTCATTTCAAAAAATTAGCGCATCATTTCTAGTACATTTAACTGCACAGTGCTCACATTTGGCCTACTTGTGCATTAAATTATAAATAAAAAATATTACATAGCCTATCATCTTGCACCCTATTGTGATCTCGAATTGCACAATATTTCAGTAGGCTGCATGCATTTGAGAGACGTTCTTAAACGTAATGCACAAACATGCATGCAGTTTTGCAGTTTTAGTCGCCATTTTGGTAATTTTGTGACTTAACTGACGATGTAGGTCTATGCTCGCAGTTTCTAGTGCGGTTTATTTATGAAGTGAGCGTGCGCCTCATTCGTGTACTGTTGAAGAGCGTGCGCCGTGAGCACAGTAAAACGGCTGACAGGACAGGAAAGCTTTTTACTGACATATAACAATATCTCATCAGACCGCAGTTCCCTGTTGTTCTACTGAAACTCATTTGGCACATGTACCTGAGGGCAAGCTGAAGTGACCGTCTGGAAAGTCTCCCGTTTGTTGTGGTCGCAAAGAGATATGGCCGTTCCGCGTTTTAATACGTTTTTACATTGTACACGTAATTTATACATATACATTTATACATTTTTGAACTCATTGAAATGCTCAAAAACATGTTGCATTCATTATTTTTAATAACTAAGCTTTTGATTATTTATAACGTTTTATTAAAGAAGATTTTCACAGAATGATTTTGTCAAAATGGCGCCCCCCTATGTGTGGCGCCCCTATGCACTGCATATACTGCATACCCCGTTTTTGCGCCACTGACATTGTGTCTGTGGTGTATTTCTGAGAGTTCACTACCGGTGACATCCAGCTGAGCTCCAGGAATCTCCGTCCATGTTCCTCTGTTTGTAGTGAATCTGCAGTAGTAGATGTGTTTATCAGCTTCTGTTACATCTGTCAAAGTGATACTGTGAGTGTCTTCATTTTCTCTGACACACTGAACTCGTCCTCTGTTTTCTGGAACTAAACACAGGAAGACAGAACATAGGAACAATACTTCAAAATAAGAGTCAATAAAACACAAGACAGGGGAACGTGTAACAATTAATGCTCTTCAAAATCACTAACAGATCTATTGAATAACTCCCAAAAACATGAGAACTGGGATTCATTGCTCAAATCTTTTCTGCACTTCTTTTCACTTTTCTGTCATCCGGTGGTCAAAAAGATGAAGCACATTTTACTGCCAGTTACAGAAGTTAGTTTAGGAGCAATAAAAGTTATCAAAGCAATCGTTGTAGTTTTTACAGTGTGCACTTACCTGTACTTACAGTGTACTTGCTTCAGAAAGTACTGGAAGATATAAGGAAAGTACGTGGGTTAGGTTTAGGGTTAGGGTTAGGATCAGAGATAGTACATAGTTATTACCCAGTTATTGTAATTACTATAGCAAGTACATAGTATGTACATTTATTTTATCTGTTTTTTATATCATTCATTCGATGAGATCAGAAACAAAGAGGTGACAGCAAATATTACACAAGCATATACTTCTGAATCTTCATATAAAATGAGATTTCAAACTTCAAAAGCATATCGCCATAACACTTTGCAAGGTGAGTAAATGACCAAATGATGTAAATGAGGTTATTTTGTGCTAAAAATTCAAAATACTGGAGGTGAATCTGAATCCCTGTGACTTAAGATTGAATATCAGCTGTTTGAAACTCAATTATAAACTGATTGCATAAAAATGATATTACAAATGTATTCTCACACAAACTTTAGCAATACTCAGCACGTGTCTGTCACTAAGACACACCATCTACAGAAGAGGATGTGTAACAACATCTACAGTGTTTCTTACAGTGCAACATCTTTAGGATTTCCTCAAACATCACGTATCTAGAGATTCAGTAATAAAGAGATACAGTAAAGTGTCTTTCTTTCCTCATGAATAGCATTAAACTAGAAATAAACTGTAGGATTATACAAACTATTGATAATATAAATCATGAAACCAGAAATATTATTATGTAGATAGCAACTCAAAACAGACCCAAAATATGTACTGTTTATTTCCATTCTCAGTATTCATATTCACCACTTCTTTCCTTCTGTCCTTATATCCTAATATATAATACTATCACTAATGATTAAAAACATGGAAGATACGAGAGAAATGCTTACGTTGGATGTCAAACTTTATTAGGTTACTTTAATAAAGATGCAGTAGAACAAAATCCACTCAGATATAAGAGCAGCTAGAGACTTTAATACAATTGTCCAGAGCTTAACAAGACAACGCTGCTTGAAAATAACATCATTAGAAACCATAAATGGGGTCTTTCTATTACACTAAACTACATTATTGCGATGTTACTTTAAATACCAGAAATACACCGGGTAAAATGCATTTGCAAGTGCAGCACAAATATAAAGAAAATGTGTAATGTACAATATAGGAAAGACTGGGGAAAAAAACAATTCTGCAACCTGCTATAAGCTCGATTACAGTATACACTGTTACTTCAAGAAGGTTTAAGAAAATTGATAATGAAGCAAGCATCAAAATATGGTATTTATGAGTTTCTGAGGAGCATCAGTATTTCCATCTGAGCAGTAATACTGTGAGGAGAGTTTAATGTGGATCTGCTGAAGTTACTGCTAGAGTCTCATATTCAGAAGATCTGGACTGAAGCCGGAGAGCCGTGTAGGTGTCATCAGGAGCTCTGGAGTCACCAGACTGTGAACAGAACAGCCTGTGTTTATATGGATCTGCTGAACGTGAGTGTAAAAAGTGTTTGAGACATTTACTGACTCTGATCGTGCTGTAAATGTCAGATGTTCTGGACACTGGATCCAGAGCTGTGTATGTATCATCACTCGAGTCAGCCGTCTATAGAGAAAGATTGTCTTTTATTTATAGCTCAGTGCAGCAATATCATCAAATATTGCAGTTGTAGATGGAGGTGTGTGTTTGCCTGCTTTTGATTCACGTCTTCAGTTCCACATTCTCTCCGCCTCTTCCTACTGAAAACAGGAGAAAACTATTAAAATACATCAAATAAATAAAACATACTAAAAGGCAAGAAAAAGTCAATTTTCTCTAGATGTGAGAT